CATATATGAAATAAAGTTTTAAATCATTTGTTAAATGAATTATATAAAGTTGTAGCTAAGGACCCACAATTCGTTATAAGTTTTAATCTTTTTTAATAGTTGAAAATAGTATTAATGGTAAGTTGCCGTTATAATAATTATTATCATTAAAATAAGCACAACCGGGCACCGTCGACAAATGTATCAATTTACCTAATTGGACTGTAGCGAAAGTCGTCAGCTACTGTAGCCAGCGACTGTTGCTGAATCGCTCGTTAGGCACTTCCCTCATTTATTTGTGATATTTTATAATAATTTTAAATAGAATTAGTTTTTATATAATTCATTAATATATTAAGGAAAAACCAAAACAAAAACATTACTGAATTATCATGTGGTAGAGTTCAGTATTTATTAGAGCAATAAATTGTACATATCTCTCCTGAAGGAGACTCCCTGATAGACACAATGTTGACCAAATGTAAAGGAACAGAGTAATTTTCTTAAAATAAATTTACCTATTAATAATTATTAAAAAATTTTAACTTCAACGTTTTGGATATGTGAATTTGTTTTAAAGACATATAACATGTAGTAAATTCTTACAGAAAAATTTTAATTTTATATCAGAATAAGTAATTTTAAAATTTTAGACGTCAGACGTGTGTTTCACCAGTTTTAAGAGTATAAACAATTATTATAAGAAACTCTTCAAAAGTATTTCCAAATGGAATGCTTTTCAACTTATTTAATATTGTGCATTTTATACACGCAAGACGAAAAGCTAAGCAAAATCTCATTAAATGCAAAATAAAGTAAAACTTTTCACATCATTGTGAAGATTGTAAAAATACTTTGAAAATAACTTTTATGCTTTGATGAAGCAACTGCATCAGGCTTAGTCAAGCCAACGGATTCGTGGAATCTTGATGCGCCACAACAAGCTAAAATCAACCGAACTGTCTTAAATGGGAAGGAAAGCGACTAAAGCGACTGATATAACATAAAAAGTAGAAACGAGGACACTTACCAACTATTTTCATAAGTTGACATTCACGTTGCACGCATTATTAAGAAATAAAATATGCCACTGCCACAGTGCCAGTGTCATTCTTCACCTGCTCTCCTGTATCCCAATGCTCTGCATATACGATAATAACAAACTTGATATGCTCCGAAATAGCAATTAAAAAGTACAACGAAATTTAATATTTGAAATTCAAATATTAAATCAACGTGTAAAAAAATACAACGTCAAAATGTTGAAAACAGTAGGAACTGCAGTGAGTAAGAAAAAAGTATAGGGATTTTTAATCGCATTCACAGCGGTAAGTTCTTTATGGTAAAGTCTGACATATGTCAAGATAGATGCGATTTTACGTCGTATAAATACAAATAACCGCATTAAAGATGAGAGTTCCATTTAACACAGGTGAGGTTTGAGCAAAGCAGTTAAATAGAGTATGACTCTTATGGTCATGGAATGGCAATGACACTAAAAGAGTAAAGAACTAATAGCTCAATTCATATCACTCGAAGACCATAATGAGATTAATCACTTATCTTATCTGTCACTTAAGAAAAGACAAGAAACAATATATAAGAGAAAGTTACTAAATACATAAAATTTTTGTGGGCTTGAATAGACTGTGCTCAGTAGCACATTCATCTGTTGAAGTCGGAATATGTGAATAAAATGGTTAGGATGATGTTGCGTACCTTTTTTGTGATTTCTGGCTTGACTTTTTATAAGATCGGACATGTTGAGATTGTGGTGTATACATTCATTTCTCATATATCTAGGAGCATTTGGGTTTGGATTGGAATGCAGCAGTTCCCCAGAGTTCAATGCTATAAGTTCATATTGGCTTAAGTATAGCTTTGTAGGTAAAAAGTTCATCTTCGCTTGAGAGTTTTAAGCTTTTGTTCAGTATCCAGTAGAGCTCCCACAGTCTGATGTCAAGTGCTGTCCTTTTTGTAAAAATATGATGCTTCCAAGTTAGTTTTGTGTCAAAGTGTATCCCTAAATATTTTGCTTGGGTAGATTAGGGGATTAAAACATCGTTAAGGCGTACCAGTGCGCATATATTTCTTGTTATTGTAAAAGTTATTTGTGAAGAATTGGACTTATTTGCTTTTATTCTTCAGGTTTTAAGCGACTGGGATATGTCATTTAGCGCCGGCTGTAGTTTATTGAATGCTAACTGGTGATTTTTATCTGTAACAATCATCACAGTATCATCGGCAAAAATTCCAATGTCGGTACCAATTGTGGTTGGCAAGTCACTTGTGAAGAGTAAGTGTAACACAGGTCCCAAAACACTGCTTTGTGGCAATCCAGCCTAAATTAGTTACAATGTTGATATTTCTTGTCGATGTAGGATTTTAAGAAAATGTAGTAATTAGTTGAAAGCATATTTTTAAGCTTAAACAATAAGCCATTATGCCAAACTTTATCTAATGCCTGAGATAGAAATGCTGCTGTGCAGTAATTCATTTTGTCAAATGCCATGTAAATAATATTAACCACTCCGTGTACTTGCTCTATTGTACTATGCTTTTATGGGCACTAATCTGGTAAAGAAAAGATTTTCCAACAACTTGGACATAATCGATAAAAGACTGATTGGTCTATATGATTAAACATCTTCAGCAGTTTTTCCCGGTTTAAGTATCATGTTAATTTAAGCCACCCTGAATTGAGAAGGGATAAAGTCTTTTGTGACGATAATATTAAAAATTTTTCACAGTAGTAATATTACTTGATCTGGTTACTTCTTTAATATTTTTGAAGTAATTAAGTTATAGCCGGGTGATTTATTAATTTTTAGTTTTTTAATTTCAACTCTTATGTCGAAAATCAAGAATTTTCGTATCAGAAGATCTAGTTGTTGCGTTTGCTGTAATACTTTTCTTCAGTTGTACTATTTGGGGCTTCATTAATGTTTGGAATAAAAACTGTAGACAGATGGTCTGTAAGTACTTTGCATTTTTCGGTATCTATTCGGGTCTATTGCCAAGTTCGTTTTCACTGCCAAAGAGCGTAGTAGATGGAAGTAGTTGCGTCTAGTCATACAGCTGGAATGCTGGAATCTGGTGCTACTAATTACCATATTTCTAGCTGCGGCGAAATCAATCAGTCTTCTTCAATTATCAGAAGTTTTTGTGTAAAGGCTGAACTTTGCGACAGTAGCACCAAAGATAAGTTCTTTATTCATCTTTGTGTTGAACTCTCCTACAACCATTTTTGTGTCATGAAACTATGTATAAAAAGTTTCCTTGGTCAACTTTATCTTTCGTGGAGACATCTGCACAAATTAGAGTAATATAGAAAAATTTTGCCTTAATACAAATTTTAGCAAACCTTTCATATATAGGACTGAAGGTTGAGATCATTTTGCTCAACTGTCGGCGTATCGCAAACCCGACTCTAAATTTGTGCTTCCTAGCATGGCAGCTGCAGTAGATGACACAATGTTCTCGTCTAGAACATCCTTGTCCCGTTTATCGTATTTTCTGGGAGGCAGTAACGTCAGCCTTATATTTCTTATATTTCTTAAGGACATTAACCAGCTATATAGATGCACCTTCTCTGTAAAGAGTTTGGACATTCCAGGTTTTTTAAATAGTGTACTTTATAACGTTTGCGTTTGTCGTCATCAGTAGATCACTTCCTTATCTACTCCTTATTGAAAGGAGTTTTTAAATGGTTGGTTCCAGGCTCGACGCATATCCTTATATATCCATGAGAAGAATTTCGCTGCACACATTAGTTCATTACGCACGGATAATTGTAGTTAATTGCAGAGGGGGCCACGTGGAGGCTGTGTGTCAACTTGGAGAGAACAGTGGCAAGGATCGCGCTGGTATTTACCAAGTTCAATGAAATCAGACACTTTATTTTGTATGTTCACTACCACTAAAACTTTATTAAACATGCTTCTAAGCGATATCTTAGCTTAGCAAAACGATATTAAATTCTCTTATTCTTAACTTTAACAGAAAAATCAATAATATTGATCAAAATTTCATTTCAAAATCACCATAAACTTTCTTTACCAATTCTGAACCAGACCGATGTGTATTTACTCTAAAAGAAATTTGCGAGTATTTTATGATTTAAGTTTAAACATCCTTTAAACGAAGGAAAATTATTTGCACTAGAAGGAAGAAATTTTTCACAAGCTCATGGGTTTCCTTCTATGTGATGCGGTGCACGCTGCACTTGCACTTAATCACGTTGATTAAAAGGAATGTAAAACGGTGCACTATTATTTAAGCGCTCTCGTGCTCCTTCATAAATTTATAATCAAGAGCTGCTATGAAATTGTTCTAAGCTTTTAAAAGTTGTAAAATTTTGTAATCCGGAAAAATGCACAAAAAAGTGTATTTACCCAATTTGTTAACAAAATTAATACGTTATGCGTTGAAGCCAGTAGAGTATTTTCATAGTAATTTTAATTTACATTATAGATTAAAGCGAACTCATTAAAAGTTCTTTCCTTTAAGCACATAATCAGTTCTAAACTATCGTTTCAACACTTCCGAGTGTACTATACACAGATTACAGATTATAATTAATTTGTCTAAAACTCAACTAAAATACTTAAGGCTGAAGTACATATTTTACACAAGTATCTACGCTTTCATAACTTTAAACTAAATTAAGTATGTGCGGGTTTTTATTATGAGTTACTTTATTTATTAATAATTATAACTTTTCTGCGAAGGTGTAAAGTTTTTACAAATCAAAAGTTTCTTATATGCGGTGAAGTACTTCTAGCAAAAGTAATTACAAGTATAAAGTATGCGCAGAACGACATATGAAGGTTTCAATCGGCTTCCTCTAGGAAACGTATTTAGTACATGTGCTGATGCCATTTATACAACTATTCAATTTAAATTTACTATGAATGCATATCGAATTTTGGAATGGAAAGAAGTTTTAATTGATTGACAAATATTTTTCATATTTCCATATTTTTATGCTCTATGTTTAATTATGGTTTTTTTCTTTTTAGCAAATCAAGAAGTTGCAACTCCTGACACAATCTGCAGCACTCAACCGTGAAACAATTGCTGCTTCTCAATTAGCAACATCAACATCTACATCAGGAGCTTCAGCATCATCATCTATATCATCCTTAAGTGCTGGCAGTACTTCTGCATCATCATCATCATCATCATCATCATCATCATTATCAGCTTCGTCATCGTCTTCATCAACGTCACTTATCGTGTCATCTTCTCAGGCGTCATCGTCTTTCTCAACAGCAACACAAGCAGACATTGCAGTTACATCGTTGTCACCATCTCTAACAACAACTACAACTTTGACTGGCAGTGGGCAGCATTTAACAGCCACTTTACATAATACTGACAACCATGGCGGTACCAGTGGTACTACAAACGCTGTAGGCAGCAACAGTGCCAACAATAGTAGAGGTGGCACCAACACTGCTATCGGCAGCATTCTAACACTTGATGAGGATTTATTATCATTAGATCGCCTTACATCTTTACGTATCTACATGACATCAGTAAAAACTTTACCTTTCAATTTGCGTATCTATGGGTGAGTGCCAGCAGTCCACATAAATGAAAGCATATATTTAAGATACACCCATCCCACTACACATATTCACGAAATATGGTTCATTAACTATAAATGACTATCAGTGTTCGAATAGACGCCAACACTGACTATGAATTATAATATTGAAAAAAATAATAAGCACCTTGACTGTATATTTGCCAACTAAGAATCAATTACAGAATATATTTACAGTGTGATTAAACATTTGCTTTAATATGAAAATCGAAAAACTAACATATGTACCATAAAGACAACTAATCGAAATTTTTCTCCAACTAGTAACTGTAACCCGTCAATCAAATTGTTATTAAACTTTGACAGATGTTTCGTGAATATTCACACTTCACAACGACTGAATACATTTTTATTCCAGGGTTATTACCTACATATGAGATCAAAAACTTTCTCTTCATCTCTTAAGGACATTATTACTTTCTTTGACTGGAATAAATTAATAATTATGTTTTTATATTTTATTTTTTAAAAACTATTATTTTTTCTAAAAAAACATAACGTAATTAAATATTTTAATCCGAAAATTTTAACTTGGCTTAGTCACAATAAGCTTCGCTTGGAAAAGATTGAGACTTCCAGTTACGGTCTCTATAAATATCCGGCTTTAATCTGGGTGAAAGGGAAAATACTATTCTAGAACTGCTATCTCTATCTAGTAATAAAAAATGGTCAATAAGAAACATTTTTGTATTTTTTCAAAGGGCTAAATATGTCTTCTTAAGTTATTATAGATTGCTAGTACCATAATCCACTATAATCGTATTGCTTATATTAGTCTCCGATTAAACTATTTATTTTCTATTATTTTGATGTAAGTACTATTTAGGCTATTGAACAGACACATCTGCGGTTTTACTAAGATCGTATCTTAGAAAGAGAATTTGTCAAAAAAGAAAACATTATAGGTCAATAATCAATACGTCAATAATTCGATAATAAGTCGCACAAAATAAAGTTTTTTCTTAGTTTTAAAGCTCAGTATTTAGTAATGCAATCATCTTTTTCAGCCTTTGAATTCATCTCAGGAACACTAACGTTGAAAGCGATCCCGACAACCAGACCTAATTGTAACATTAAAAAAGTCAAAATACAAGACTTATACAAAAGTGAGGTACCACTGGTTCTCTCCTCTTTGGTCAACAAAACATTTAAACTATTTAATAAATTTTGCAACCTAAAAAGCAATCAAAGCGAGCCCCTAATTTTTAAGAAATACAAACTCTGATCAATCCAACACTGGTATATCAGTTAATTATCATTATAATAGCATTAGATATTATTTTGAGTTCATTTACCAACAAAATCCCTTTTATTGCATGTTATTGAACTTGCTTAGGAGCCGAAAAGACGGATTCACCTTGTTTCCTTCACAACTTGTTTTTATTCTGTAGAACCAGAATACCAGAATGGCATCTTATTGGTGGTAGAACCAAATCACATCTATTGTCATGAAGAAACAAACAAAATCGTTTTCGAAAGTCCGAATCGGTTAATAATTTTCCAAAACTACATCTTGTACTTTTGGCAATGTTTTTTGGTGTTGTTGTAGTTTTTGGACGTCCTTCAAGTTAATCGTTTTCCGAACCTGTGCGACAAGTAAATGCACTTTTTTTAAAGACCAACTGCACCTACCATACTTATCATTTTGGTATGATATCTTATAACCACACAATATTCAGTTTCTTTCATTGACACGGAAACTTGAAATATATTTTAAACAGGAAGGAAGGAGGAACTGATATATCAAAATAATATTTTGCTTAGGTTCTTATGAATGACGATATATTGAAATGCGTTTAAAATTAATGAATAGCTGATCCGTCACACGTTTATTGAACAGCTCAATTCTTATAAACTATTTTTAAAACGTTGGTTTCACACTTTTGTTTCTCTGTCAATATAATCAGAGAATCTATTTTACTATAAAGTTTTGAACACAATAGATCTCATAGTTCGTGGTTTGTCGTTGTCCGTTCCAATATATTACAGTCTTGTCATATTTATGGATTGATTATTAAACATGTCACGACTAGACATAACTTTTATTTTGTGGAATTTATTTTGATATGCAAAAAAAAAATCAAAGTTGTCTTTTTTTTGACAATATGACATTTGTATTGCTAAAATAAAGCTATTAAAACAAAAAGCAGTAGAACTTTTAATATGTTTCTAAAAACTTTTATTAACTTTGAAGAAATGCATGTATTTATTTGTATTTAAATTATACAAAGTTTTTGTATTTATTTCCAGTTTTTGTTTATTGTTTGCTTTTAATAGATACGATAGTATAAATTAGTATGCAATCCGCAAAAAAGCTCATTTATGCTAAAGATACTTACTCATCTGGTTAGAAAATGGTTGCTGTGAAGTCGCTTACTTCCTCGTAGTTTTACATTTATCAAATAAATTAGTTTATTTTTACAGGTTTTTATTATATTACCTGTTTAAGAAACTTTAATCAAAATATCTCCGTGAAAAAAGCACTTAATAAATCCTAATTATGCGCCCTAAAAACTTGAAACTTTACCCGGCAACTTAATTAATTTGATAATATTTTTCCTTTTTGTTTTCTGGAGCAATAAATAAAAATTGCAGTCCTCAAAAATAAAGAAAATACTGTGCGCATTGATTAAAGAAGTATTTAAAGCGTACTTGAGACTGAAAAAGTACTTCAAATATTTCAAGTGTGAGTAGGAGTATCTGTATCCGAGAAATTGTATTAAAAAGTGCGGAGCCGTAAGTTAAAATTTGAAAATGAGTAATTAGTTAAAAGCTGAACAGAACTACCCACTTTTTTTTTTTTAAATACCTATACATTTATTATTGTATCTTCTCTTATGTTACAATCAGACTAACAATAAGTTTTAAAATCTTATCACTAATTACATGATATAACAATTTTTATTTTGAATATACATTGTATAAAATAAAATAATTAAACCTTATATTACGGACTTCACTGAGATCAATGGGTTAAGTTTCATTGGAGTGAATGTTAGATGGTTTATTAAGCTACTTTCAATTTTATCAGATCACTTAAAAGAAAGGTGCGGTTTTTACTTTAAGCTATTGAATTGTACTTAATAGTTGGACAGTCAGCTCCTTTTAAGGGAGAAGTAATTGAAAGAAGAAATTTAGCTTTAACTAGAGGAATTTATAGATATCGGTAAATGCTTTCATTCCTAATATACCATGGGACTACAGTGATTATTCTCAATATTTTTGACTGAGCTCTTTGGATAATTTCAATATTTGAAACACTAGCATTACTATGTAGCTGGATACCTTAAGTTCATATTGGTTTTATGATTCAGTTATACAAGAATACTTTATACTCTAGGCACATGGAAGATCTGTTATTAATGAGCCAATTCAATTTAGAAGCTTGGAGCTTCATCTGAATTTTTTTGGTGTCAATATGTTTGGGCCAAATAGGTCGTCTGTCTAGGTGAATACCTAAGAACGTTATGTTATCTGCTTGTGGTATGGGAATGTTATTTAGTAAAATTGTTGAAAATGTACTCCGATTAAAGGTAAAAATGACGTGTGTACATTTTAGTTCATTTATTTTGATCCCTATTTTCACAGCCATTTCTCCACCCAAAATAAGTGAGATAGAAGTCGGTTTGAAGTTTGCACAGAGTTTTTGCTTTGGCATAAAATTGCCGAATTATTAGGAAACGTTGTGGTGACAACTGAACTACTCATCGGGATATCAGATGTGTAAAGTACATACAAGATAGGGCCAAGAACACTTCCTTGTGGAACGCCAGCTTCAATTGGGAATTAGAAGTCAATTGGGAGTAATTAGAATAGAAGTATATGATTTACATTTAATTTTCATGCTTCTGTTATGCAGATATGATTCTCAAACTGAGTAAACATTTGCAGGAAATAAACAGCGTTTCTTATATATGAGCCCATTATGCCATATTTTGTCAAATGCTTGTTTAACATCGAGAAAAACCGCCGAACAATATTCTCTGAGCTCAAATGTGTGTCTTATTTCGTTCGTTATACAATGCACTTGCCAAATAGTTCCATGTTTTTCCCTAAAACCAAACTGGTGGGAGGATATTAGGTTTTGAACGTCAAGGTTTTAGCTTTAAAAGCAGTGCTCTTTCAAAGAGTTTAGAAAGGCATGGCAGTAAGCTTATTGGCCTGTATGAAGAGGCAAGCGTGGGATCGTGACCTGATTTATGAATCATAATAATCATGGACGTTTTCCACTCTCTTAGCTAAAAGTCTAATTTAATAATGGCACTAAAAAGTCTTGTGACAAAATATATGGTCGAAACGGGTAAGTTTTTTATCATGATAGTCCGAGTGCCTTTTTGCAATCTAACCTGTTTGTGATTATTTGATCAAGATCATTGGCCGTGATATTCATGTCAATAGATGGTGCATGTAGATGCTGAGTGATAAAGTCATAATATTCTGTTGCTGGATTTAGTTGGAACACCTCTTTTAGGTAATCAGCAAAAACGTTAGATCTTTCTTTATCGCTTTGCGCCCAGTTTTCGAGAAAGTTTCTTATTGGAAAATCGAATGCTATGGGGGAATTTATACCTTTCCTAGCATTCCATAAGGATAAACATTTTATGCCATTTGGACATAAGTCTTGAATATAATTATATTGCATGACTTTGGTTCCCTACTTAATGCAGTTCTAAGTCTCCGTTGGGCATCCTTGAATAAGATTTTTGATGAAGGTGATTTTTGTAAAACTATATTCTCTAAGTCATTATTTGTAATTTCTTTATTGGATATGTAAATTTTATTGTCTTTAGGGATATAGTTTTCTGCTGCAGAAAATAGCATTGAGTTTAACACCGAGATTGTGTCTTCAATATGAGACTCTCACTTTATTTTGTAGTTTTTGTGTATGTGTGAAGTTATGCACTTTTTATATTCGAGTCAGTTTGTTCTAGGACTTATAAAGCTATGGGAATAGTCTCGTAACTGAGGACCATCAAGTAAGCAAAATATGACTGGAGAATGATCAGAAGACAAATCGCAGCTTGTGTATATTGAGATAAAGTTTCTGCTTTGTCTTTGATCACAGCGAAGTCTATTAGGTCTGGTATTTTATTATTATCTGCAGGCCAATATCTTGACTGCCCAGGAGAGTTCACGTCTAGTGAATTTTTTCTATTTCGAATAGAATTGTAAAACTGTTTACCTTCTGAATTACAACCATTTCCGTGCACTCCAATACATGTACTTGGCGTTGTAGTCTCCTGTTGTAAAAAAACTGTAACTTAGAGTTAAGAAATAATCTGTAAATTGATTCTCAGCAATGTTGTAACGAGGGGGGCAGTAAATTGCCGACAGAGTTATATATTTTCCTTACTGCTTAAGGCATATTGATGTGACTTGCACTTAGTTATGGGTATTTATACCTAGAAACATTTGCATTATTTAGCTTTGCATTTTAACAAAAACTGAGTTTAGCTCTGGGTAAGAGTGGAGATCATCATTTCCAAACTATTACTTTGAACTGGAGAGGCTTGTTGTTTGTCAGATTTAACGACATTAGCATCTGAAACACCTGTTGTCACAGGCTTAGAAAATAAAGGTTGGAGTACTTTAACCAATTTGATGGGTGTACTTCTTGTACAATTACGCAAGGCTTCTTTCTGCAGAGCGTACCTGTGCTTTAGTTCTCTCTCAATAAGATAGCCTCTGTAATTTGCGATTTTTTTATCGCATTCCGAACTACGGTGAAACCACATACTACGCACACTGTACGAAGAGTCCAATATGACTTAGTGTGACTAATTCTGCGGTGAAGTAAGTATTACAGGATGTAGATGGGATAGCTCTCATTTTTTTCTAGCTTAGAAGCTTCCGAGTGAAGTTCAACAATAAACATGGGTTATGGGATTTTATCTTTATTAACAATATTTATAACGACTCTAGCGCTGAAGTCTTTTCCACTTAGGGCATTTGTGATCTCGATGGGTTCTACATCTGACTCAATACCTTTAATAACGATAACGAATGTGTAGTAATTTTTCTTGCTGTCATCGAAAAGTTCAGCAAATCTATTACCAGAAAGTATGCTTGTGGGTGCACTATCTTTGTCAGTTTTATTTATTTTAGCACCTTTTGAATTGACTTTTAGAGGACTAAGTTTAATATTGACATACCGTTGTATGCCTCTTTGGATTTCAATTTTATTTTTTGGACTCGCTAAATCGGAAAATGCAAGCAATGCTGCTGTAGGTGCAATGTTTAGTAGGCTTTTATCAGGGGCAACGTGTTTGATGCGTCTAGTACCAGATAAGCATTACGTTTCTTTAGGATGCTTATCGTATGTCCTCTCTCTAAGGGAGGATTTTGATTACTCATTTGCATACGTTGATATGTATACAAATATCAGGATTACTATAAGATTTCCCATTGTATTTCCTATTGGTATTGTAGGCTTTGCTTCGTGTTAGCTTCTGTGGAACTCGTTTTTAAATCTTAATAACAAAAGTGGTAGTTACAAGAATACTTATTACAAACAGTTTTAAGACTACGAATTTAAATTTCTCGGAGACCGGCTTGAAAACTCGTCCGCTTATTAGAAATGTTATTTTGCAATTCTAACTTACATTGTGACCGAAAGGTTTTCGGAAATTCTCATTTAAAATTCGCGCGCTGTATATTTTTCGATATTTTAAGTTTATGTAGTTTG